GATAGTATTTCACTAAGGGAGGTTCAAAGCCAGAAGCTACCTTACCTGATGCAGTGTTTTTCCGCTTACTCTCTACAATGCATAATGCATCATCATTGCATTGCATAATACTTATGTACTCGAATTTTCATTCATGTGGGGGATTGTTGGAAATGGTGTTTATTAATAAACCAATTCAAAAATGAATGAGAAATTGTGGTTTTGGAATAGAGGCACCTATTTGGAAGGTTGCATGGTTTGGCTCAAATCATTTCATCACACCACTCCATTCTCTATATAAAGGACCCCTTGGATGACTTGGAGAGTACACCATTTGCATATTGAGCATTCATTCTTCTCAAAATTGCAATTCTCTTCTTCTTCGTCTCTTTTCATATATTATATTCCTTATAGAGGGGAAACTCTGTCAAAAGTTCGCCGGATTTGTGGTTTGAAGTGCTACTACCACAAATCGAATCCGTTGTATCTTGGGAGACAATTGCCGCCAACCGTGAGCACCGTAGTGGGGCAATATTGTCTTAAGGAGAGAGTGAATACACTTGCCTCGGATTTAATCTTCGTTTTCTACTCCTTCTTATTTTAATTTTCTTATTTGGTTTTATGGTTTTGTACTACATTTCCATTTCATAAATTTGTGATTTAAAATGCACTCACAAACAACCATCTTTACCGCTCACAAATAAGCCCGGTTCCCAACAAGGTTTACATACAAAATATTTTATTATGTTAATATATGATTAAATGGAGAAAAACAGTGATTTAATTTAGACTTTTCTAGATTTAAAATTAAAAAAAAAATCTATGTATATTTTTAAGACTACGTAGAAGTTTGCATTATTTAAAAGTCTACTCAGTTTTTTATTTTATTTTATTTTTGGTTCAATAGGTAGTTAGGATTCAACTGTATTATTCACCTAATTGGTTAACTCGTAAACTAATTTCATTTTATTATATGCATCACTAACAAAGAAGAAGAATCAAAGTTAGCTTGGAATTCCATAAGTTCGTGGAGAGAACTCAGCCACTGCACATTCGGGATGCTTCGCATAGGAAATGTTGTAGTGTCCACATTGATATGTTAATTTAATGAAATCACTCAGTGTTAGACGTAAAACAAGTGCCATGTGAGAAAAGGAGATACTCTTCTACTCCCGAAGAAGTTAGGAAGGTAATTAAAGGGATTAGCGGCACACCACCAACCTAGATTCGATGATGTTACAAAAAGGCAGTCCATTGACTATTACTGCCGTCTGACTGACATCATTGAAAAAAAAAAATAAAAACAAAAACAAAAACAAAAACAAAATTTAAGTGATTAAATTATAATATTCAACAAGCGCCAGAAATTTTGGTTTAAGCCAAAAAAAAAAAAAAAAAAAGCTGTTGAAGTGGACTATGGGTCCCACTTGTGAAACGGCCAGTCAAAAATGATGGCTGCTTTTGATTTCCAATAGGCAAAAAATCAATTTTTGGGCTCCAAAAAATCCGTGCCAGACAGGTACAGTTGAGAACGTGATGATTTATTGTATTTGTCTGACGGCCCAGTAGAATTATAAAGAGTGGAAAACGCTGTTCAGTTTGCATCAACTATAATAAAGCAAGCTTACAGCAATTGGAAATTTCAGTTCTTGAACCTAATGGCAGACCAACACCTTTCAGCAAATAATACCAGTGATATCGAACGTCCCCCAATTACAGAGGATGAAGGTGAAAATCATCATCAGTCTTTCGATGGTCACCTAATGCTGAGAGTGCCCGAAGTTTTGCGAGTCAATAAACGAAACTTAGATGATCACTACGCACCTAAGATTGTTTCCATTGGCCCTTATTACCATGGCTTGCCAGAACTTCGCAAGGCAGAAGAACTCAAGCACGAAGTCCTCGAGCTCTCTGTTTCAAGGAGCAGCAAACAATTATTGTACCGGCGGATCTCTGAAGTTATCGACCAGATTAGAAACTGTTACGTTGGGGTTTCCAGAGATCGTTATGGTGATGAAGAACTAGCAGAAATGATGCTTCTAGATGCATCTTTCGCTCTATGTCTCATAGACAGTAAAACGAGAGATGGTGAAAACGGTGAACTCGTCCATCGGAATCTTGGAATAGCTGCAATGCCATTTGTATTCAATGATCTGATTTTATTCGAGAATCAAATTCCACTTATGGTTATTAGTCTCTTGTATGAATTAACGCGTGGAGCGGCATCCAATTTAATTTATGAACTCAGACGTTTCATTGCTTTCGTGAATAACTGGCCAATAGAAAAAATTCCTGTGGAAGGCGAAAGGCTACCATTTCACCTTCTGGATGCTTTTTATCAATTATTTGTCAAAGACGTGGATGATGCAGAAGAAGAGCCTTCTAACCGACGTCAACGGCGGACATGGAGGAGAGAAAATCCAAATAAATTTTGGGACTACAATCGTCAATCTCGTTCAGTCACCGACCTCAAAGCAAAGGGCATCCACTTCAAACCAAGTTCATATTGTTTTAAGGATATTAAGTTCAAATCCTACACATTTTATGGGCAACTTCAACTACCGGTTTTATCTTTTGATGCTAATTCCAGGCTAATACTTGTGCAATCGATTGCATATGAAATGTCTCTAGGAAGGGACATTAACTTTATTGTATTATGTTATGTTAATTTCATGAAATCACTCATTGTTAAATCTGAAGATGTTAAGGAACTACGAGAAAAGAAGATACTCATAAGCGACCTCGACAGTGATGAACAGATTGTGGAAGCAATCAAAGGGATTGATACTCACAGCTTTGGAACTGACAGTATTTTTTATGAGGTGAAGAATCAAATTGCGAAGCACTGCAGCAGCGAGGCAAAAACATGGATTGCTGAACTAATTCACACTTATTTTCGCAGTCCGTGGACTTCTATTGCCTTATTCGCTGCCACTTTTCTTCTTTGCTTAACTTTTCTCCAGACCTATTACACAATCAATCCTCGCAAGTAAAGGTTTGTGCTAGATTCTGTTCTTCAAGTTTTAGTTAAGATGTGTTTCAACTCTTCCAAATAAGAGCGATTTGATGCTTTTGAATTCACTGTATTATTCTGTGTTTGTATTTTTATAATTTAAATCTATCAAAATAGTGTCATAACACTTGTTTATCTAATGATAGAGATTGAAAATATTGATCGTATGTTCTTGAATTCATATTTTGAATTTGAAGACAAATTTTACCCTCAAGATGTTATCTTAATTGCCTTGTCCAGAAGATTTCATTGACAACACCATAGTTATCAGAAAGAAAAGTAAGAGAAGGGTGGGCAAAATTATTGTTTCCCATCAATTAACTATATACATATTGGTTGTTCAAGATGAGTTGATAGATACATCGACCTCTTATGAAAGGAAAAACTAATAGTGCAAGGACTAAAGGAAATAAGACTGGGAAAGAGGTTTATTTGTTGGTAAAAGTCAGGTCTATTTCATTTTAACAACGTTTACTAAGGGCCTGTTTGGTACCCATTTTTTTCAAAATGCATTTTTCTCTCTCTTCTTTTCAACCACACATTCTTTATTAAAATAATATTACACGTAAATCAAAAACTTTTCCTTATTTTTTAACCACACATTTCCTATTAATTTATTATTCAAAAATGCATTTTCACATAAAAATCTCTACCAAACACCCTCTAAATGTTGCCAAAGGTTTCTCTTTTTGCAACGTTTAATAAACTTTGCCAAAATTTTAATATTCTGCAACGTTTAATAAATGTTGTGAAAAGAGTAACATTTTGCAAGAGTAGACGAACATTGTAAAAAAACTATATATCTAAGTATCCACAACAGTCATTGAATGTTGCTATAGAACAAATTTTTTTAACAACAGTATATGCACGTTGTGAAAAAGAAAACTTTCTGCAACACTCAATAAACGTTACAAAATGTTGACATTAGCAACTAACATTTAAAAAATATTGTCAAATCTCAATTATGTTTACCAATGGCAACATTTGCTTATTAGAATTTTGAGATAGACACATTTAACACCACTCAAATAACAAACGTTGCCTTTTATGTTTTGCAAAAGACTATTTTTGTTGGAGTGCTAATAGGTCACTGATGGAAGAAAGGGGGCATAGTCTATATTTGGCGGGGATTAAAATCAGATATATAGTAGATTTTAATAAAAGTAAATAAAATATGAGTTGAAAGTTGTGGGTCAATGCAATGTAAGGTTAAAACGAATTGTTGACTTTGACTAAAATTAGAATCTTGATTTTAATTTCTACCAAATTGGAGCATAATAACCTATCAGTACTGAGAAAATCTCACCAAATCTTGTCCACATAATCTAACACATTAATTTAGGCATAATAATTCGTCAATTGAAAAACAAATATAATAAACTATTAATATGTCACCCAAATTTGTTTTGTATTGATGTTTTAGTTTGAAAAATGAGTTCACGAGGTAAAAATACGACTAAAGGATGCTTGGGGACGAGATGGGATGCCCGAGCACCCCATTTAGGCGCCTAGGCACCAATTGGGTGTCAAGATCGTATTTGGAACAGAGATTCAGCACCTAAGTGCCAAATAAGGAGCTGTTGGTGACTGTTATGGTGAGTCTAGTGGTCCTCGTATATTTCTCGTAAAGGTCATATTTTCTTGGTGACTCTTATGGTGAATCTAGTGGTCCTTTTACCATTTCTTGTTCCAGTGACTTTTGTTGGCATTCTGTCTTGCACAAATTACTTTTATATCTATTCAATAGGTAGACTATTGTGCTTACTACCTCTGCTTAAAAAGTTTTAAATTTATTTTGGACAAAATTTATTTAATTTTTTTGGGCCAAATTGTAATTTTATCAAATTCTTGGATACTTAATGAAATCATTTTTAAATGATATTTTTTATTTCCTATCGTTGGCTTTTCCCAAGTATTTTCTAGTCTGAATCATCTATTAGAGCTAACTGTTCGGGTTTTGAAAGGCTGTCTTAATAGTGATAACTGTATTGAAAAGGCTTGAAGGGTATTCAAATGGGCGAATCTAAAATTCACACCATTTTCTTTAAAAAAATTCTTTGTTTTGAATCTCATTCCTTCTCTCATATTCTGATATTGATTTTTCAAAGTGTAAGCACTTCAATGAGTTCGTGAGAACTCTTGCAGATTGCCGTGCCGCTATCATCGAAGATGAAATTCGTTTTATCTTTGGAAATGATTGTTGTACGCCTTTAGAACTATTGAAAGAAGCAAATTCATCTTGAAGACACATTGTAAACTCGATAGGCTTGCATTAACATTTTGATCATGTTGATCATCTCATGAAGCTATTCAAATCTGCTCGGGTAAATCTATAAGTGTTTATATCTTCAAATTGTTCAAAGGAGAAATTTTTACTGCAAAAGCAACAATTTCCAGAGTAGATGAAGCATCAGTACGGTGGGAACTGGACCACGGCGCCTCCACTTGAGGTAAAGCATGATCTCTTAATTTTGCCTAAGATTATTAGTGGCATTAAAAAACAATTGTTCGATAGTTGATTTGAAATAAAATGAAGTCTTTCCCATCTGGCACACCAAATTTTCATTTTTGTGTTTGATCGAAGTACATAGAATGTATAACTAGGAAAAAAAAAATTTATTAGATTGACGACCAAGTGAAATTTGGTTAGGAGGTAAGTGACTTACAACCAGTTGTTTAATCTAGGCCATTTACATACTTCGTGATTACAGAATTAGTTAACATCTTGGCTGATAGAAATAGAAGGAAAAGTGTAAGGTATAAATTTTATAAAAAGTGAAAGAAAATTATGAGTCATAAAAAATGTGTGGATGAAAATGATATTCGATCATTCTATAAACTTAAAAAAGTTTTGCCGAATATAAATTTCACAAGCGTACGGAATCATTGACAAGTAACAGATAAAGTGAGTTTAGAGTTTTCATTTCATGAGAAATAATGTTTAATTTCAGTAAACTAGTTACTATCAAATTCGATAAAGAGTAACATCAAAAGATATTTGTTGTGATTTTCTAATCTAATTTTAACTAAGAAAAAACTTAAAAGTGGTTTTTAGCATATATGTGATGAATGTATTTAATTTCTAAATCCCCCTATTAGCGTTATTTTCAAATTTTCGACCATAAAAAGTGGTATTATTTTTCTAATGTTAATGAAAATCAATAATCCAATATCCTTTTTTCAAGAAATATCAAATCTACGTTTAACACGACTTGGTCCTATTTCTAGTCAAAATTCATATGAAAAATATGAATTTAATAATAGGATTGTTTCACGAAAATGCAAACACCATATATATTATTCTAATATCTATTTCCCGTGTATTAAATATGTAGTGTTCTATCTATTGTGAGCCTCCCAACACTGCGAATAGATAAAAAGTTATCTAAATGGTGATCAAGCATTCAAACAAAATAATGTAGAATCAAGAAACTAAAGAAATTATTAAATTAATGAGCCTTGAATTAAAAACAACTACTAATAATGTTCATCATCCATCCAACACAATAAAAAACTTAGTTTACATTCTTTATCATTAAATTACACAAGAATAATTGGAAAAACATCACCCGAAAGTAAGAATAATAGAAGAAGTAAAAGATATTCACATTCTTGGTTCAAATTTAAAACGGGGCTATGAATTTTCAAAATCCTTGCATGATTCGCTTTGAATTAATGTATTGACTTATTATTCGCCTCCAAAATATGTAGGATATGATGCAATTCAGGTCGAATTTAGGATTCCCATGTTCTGGTCGAGTTTTGGTATTTATAGAATGCATAAAAGATTCCACTGAATTGTTAACAAAAATAACGAAAATCGGATTTTTCTTATTTTTATACCAAGGTTTCTTATTTTCATATTGAGGCGTGCGCTTGGCTTGCCTGGGGCGCCTCAGATGCCCCCTGTTTTGGTTGAGGTGCACGCCCTTGGTCTCTCTGATGGGCATTTTTTAGTATTTTTTCATAAATTTCTCTCTCAATATGCAATTGAAGTGATTAAAAATGCGTTGAAAAGATAATTTAGAGGGCTACAATTCTTTTAGAATATCATGTTTCCAATTCGAATGTTTACTATACCAAAATGGTCTCAATTTGAGGTTAAAAATTCGTAGCATAATTTTTTTCAACTAAAAATTAATATTTGATTATATTTCATTATTTTGACTACTTTTCTCATTCAATTGACACCTAACACTCTCAAATTTTTATCATGAGATCCATCACAACTTTTGAGTATTTGCACTTTAGTTCTTACACTTAGAATTTCTCCATTCTTCTCTATTTTTAGCTTATTTTCTCCAATTTTTCACAAATAATAAGTTTTACTTATTAAATGCAACACATAATAAAATAGGTAATATTTCAATCTAAAAACTATGAAATGTCATTATTTATGGCCCCGAATAAAATTATAAAATATATTTATCACCAAACGTGCTCAAATTGTAGATTTTATTTTATTTTATTTTATTTTATTTAGAAAGCTTGAATGATGATTAGATGCCTCAACTATTTGGTTGTGACCAAACTCACTCCAGTGGGGAAGCTAAAATTTATTATTCATTAATTCACAGTCGAATCAATTGTAATCAGGCACACATACATGTAAGAGATATTTTCATCATTTATGATTGAAATCTTTTGTGTACAGAAACATGCTACCAGAATTTCAACAGAATACACATAATAGTTGCCTATTAAACAATGGCAAAAAAATAAATGACCGAGTGAAATTTTGGTAGCTCTGCTTCTTTATGGTATTGACATTAACAAAAATTATCGATTTTTAGTTAACTAAATTTATACCATTTCATACATTGGGTTCTGATCCCGAGCCCTATATGGACCCAAAAACAATAATAAAAATATGGTTTTTGAGTGACCTTGGACTTCGAGTTCTAAGGTGACTCAATGATTTCAGACCAATCTTTAAAATCTTCAAATCCGTATTCAATTTGATAATAATCAAAAATTGTT